AAATACACCATTTTATAACAAAACAAAACATTTCAAATGTTTTAAAGTAATCAAAATTGATATTTATGTTACTTTAGGTTAGCTAATTACAGGCCAAACATTTAATTCAATATCAGTAGATAAATGTAGGATCTGTTGAAACTAACAGCATTATTTATTATTTGGAACGCATGGAACAGACATAAAGAAAGCTATTTACTGAACAGAATGCATTGTCTTGGAAATTTCTCAGTAATTTTAGTCAGATGACAATCTGAATACAACTTTATATGGCAGCAAAGAATAGTATGTACTCAATGTTTCAAGACTGAAGTTCCCAAGCGAAAACAAATGGGTCACTTTGTAAGGGATGTATAACTAAAAATTGCATAAAAGAAGAGAGATGGTTTCGGCGAAGTGTTCTCCGCGTTCAGAGTCATCTACACGGTAGGTAGGAAGCTGCTAATAACAGTGAGCATCCCTCTTCTCCTCATTACCAAAGCATTTGCTGAATATTTAGGGAAACCAAGATTATGTGTTCAAAATAACTTTCTGCATGTTATATGAGCTCCGAATTATAAGTAATATTCAGTAAAGTTTGTCTCATTGTGAATATTCTGTTTATTTAAAAGCTATACATTTTTAGGACATCATTACCGGTGGTACTGTTACCGTTTATTTTATGAATGATATTATTAAGGAAATCGAAAATAATTTTTCAATGTCATTTGGCACACACTACCTCATTTTAATAATGACAGTTATTTATTTATTTTAGCATAATTCATCTGCCTAAAGGCAAGAGAACAAATACTTCTAGTAATAAATAGGACTTTCAAATTGTTAAATCAGTCATACACATTCATAATCTTGTTAATAAATTTATTTAACCATTAGCATGTAAGTTAATTGAATTCGTGAAATGTAAATAAAAGAAATTCAATGGTAATAGACGTTTTCATCTAATACTAAAATTATTGTTCTATTTATATGCCTAATGAGACCGGGTAAATCTGACTTCTGAATCTTGACAACTCAAACATCTTTTAGGAAGCGTAAATATCAAAGGAGTTGAATAATTTGACAGCTATTATGGCTCAATAACTTAGTGGATAATATACTGGCATTTGAACCGATAAACAATGGTATCTAGTGTAACTCTAGTAGTAAACACTAAGAAGTAGATAAATTCAATTAAAAATCTCATAAAGAACAGAATCAATATGCTTACGTCTACTGTTGATCAATACTGAAAAATTGAACTAGATTCCTAATTAAAGACCGATAGTGGCTAGAAATGGAATTCAGGATGTGCGTTTCATCATATTTTTGGGGCTCAAACCAAGTATCGTTTGCTTCAAATACCATCGCGTTATCCACTTAGCTACTGAGTCCCTACAGCTACTTGCTTGTGCAATGTAGTGAATTTTAAATTCACTTGATATTGTTTACTCGTATCTTTTCATTATTATTTATGACTGCAATTGATCAGTCTCTTATTGGCATATGTGCATCCTATGCGGACTGCCTCGATAATGCTTTAATTCACGATTTTTATAAGCAAAGATGGATAGTGACTAGTAGTGGAATCTAGGAATCGCCTTTCGTCCAATTTAAGACTAATCAATTGCAGTCCTAAATAACAATGGAAAGATACAAGTAAACAGCACCAATTAAATATAACTTCTTGATATTTCTAATATAATTACAATCGCTTATGAAGCCATCTATTAACGGATAATACATCAAATACATATATAAACAATAAAATACAAGCCTATTACAAATAATAATAATAAAAAGTAATAATGGCAAAACATTAAGATCGATATTGTATACCAATGATACATTGTTCTTTTTTTGGTTGTTGTTCATATTTTCATATAATAATACACCCGGCCCCTTAATGCCCTGGTACGGACGAGAGTGGGGAAAGTCCGTTCTCCCTCTCGAAATGCTCTCATATAGCCACGCGAATATATAGCCTCTGTCAGGGGAGTCCTACTCACTGACTTCTCGTGACACTACCGTTGTTTACGAAATCGAGAGGACGAAAAGCGAATGTCCGGCGCTTTAACCGGGTTGGTGGACACGGAGCGTCCACCTAGGGGAGTTGGAAAACCCTGATTCCAAACCAATGGTGCACATGGTCTCCAGTATCCTGAATGAACGAATGGCGTATGAACCAACTGTTGGTCACCGGCTACCATGGGACTGCATCTCCTTACGATGCTCCACTGCCTTGTGGATTATACCTTAAGGTCAAAGACTCCGGGTGTGGCCCCTTAAGAAAACCACCTGTTTCAGTTTGGTCACCTGGTCAGTAACACAGCCCTCACACAAATCGAATGAGATTTGTGAGGCGCACATTTATCTGGTGATTCCTTGTATCAATATTTATGTGTTTAAATAAATAAATAAAATAATATTAATACACCATTACAATTAATTATGTCCTAAATTTGTCCTAAATATTATTTTTATTAATAAATGTTAATTTCATAGTTTTATATTCACATTCTATTAGATTTTATCTTCCAACTTAAGATTTATAAGGTTACAATTTTTCCCCCTTTCTCTATAATTCTTCTTATCAATCATCAAAATATATATGATGTAAAATTAGAAAAAAATATATTTCCTGTAAATTAAATATAACATAAATAGTTTCTATGTTATAAAACACTCATTAACTTATAAGAATTGTATACATAAAACATACGTTTCATTATTGTTTATTCATTTAGAGTTTAGCAGGAATATTTTATTTATTATATAGATTTCTTTGTTTGCTTGTTTTGTTTGATTGTTTTTTACAAGAAAGAGTTGTTAGTAATGTGGAATATATATTCATAAATGATAAGTGTTCAATAAAATGAAAAGCCTAATTTCGTACAAACATAGTTTCAGTCAGTCAGTCACAACGTAGAACTTCATACGTACGTACATCAGTTCGAGTTGCCATATCACATTAATACAGAGATACAGTTGTTGATTCAAATCCCATAGTGGTAGAAGTAGTAAGAGTATAAGCAATAATGTGAAAGATTAGGGTTTGAAGGTGTTATTGAAGGAGTATAATCCAGTGAAATAAATTTGGAAAGAGAAAAAGATATAGGTATGCTGAATTCAGAAGATTAGAATTTGGGAGAACACCATGAGTGGATGCACCTTCGCCAGTGCAAACGATTTTGAGCCACCGACCAGCATTCTCCAACTCCATCCTGAGCCTTTCTTTCTAGTTCTATCCAGATTTTGTTGATTATTCTCATATCTGTTTCCATTTCTCAGAGTATTGTGTTCTTTGGTCTTCCTCTACTCCTTTGACCTTGAGGATTACAAGTGAGGGCTTGCCCTGTGACACAGTTGTGTGCTTTCCTCAATATGTGTCCAGTGCTTCTTCCTGATTCCTTCCTCCTCTGAAATCTGGTTTGTTCTCCCTCACAGTAGGTTGTTGCTGATAGTATCTGACCAGCGGATCCGAATTATTTTGCGTTGAGAACTGTTAATTAACACTTGTATCTTCTCGCTAAAAAACGATAATCATCTGAAGTTGACAATTACTAATTTTGAATAAATGAAAGCTTAAAACATAATGAAAAATAAAATTTTAGAAATAAATTACTGTTTAACTATCAGAAGGGTTTTTGTGGAAGTCAATTGGTGAATGGTTGCTCAACTTCGTGGATCAGTTGAAGTTAGACATGAACACCGTTGGGTGCCAGCTCAGTGGTCTATCGGTTAAGGGCTTCGGCTCCAGACTGGTGGGTCCTGGGTTCGAATCTCGCGAGAACGGGTTCGTGGATGCGCATTGCTGAGGAGTCCCATAATAGGACGAAACGGCCGTCCAGTGTTTCCAGGTTTTCCATGGTGGTCTAGGTTCATTTGACTCACGCTTTCAACTATGAAAAATTACTGTTTGTTTGTTTCGACGAAATCTATGTTTACCAAACGAAACTGGAAATTTTTACTACCTTATTAGAAATTTCGATGAAGTTGAATTCGACCGTATTTATTGTAGTGATTTAAGACACCAGTCAATTTCATTTACACTTCTATTGTGTACTTATATCTTCTTAGATGTAAAATATATGGTTTTTTTTATGTTGACTCAGTAATAGCATACATCACTCAATAGTCTAATAATGAAATCGATTGTTACGAAATTAGAAAATTGCTTGCTTAAATCCAATCTAGTTCATTCTTACGTGATATTTTTATAATAACTTAGTTCAGCAGTATACTTGTATAGTAATTATTTTAACAATATCTACAGGATTTAAATTGCATATATATGGCAAATCATTTATATGTGTGTTTCAGTTACGAATGTACGCACTTTTTAGTTAGTAATAAGAAAGCTGTGAACTGAATATGTCAACATTAAGTATTTTAGATAAAGTACTCGACTCTTATTTTCATTAAGAAAACGTTATTTTGATAGAATCTGACGTGCGTACTGATTACTAATAGAAAATATCTGCACTTTGTTTTAATGGTCATATTATATGAAAGAGGTTTTACCTAGACACAATTGTTTCAACAAAATACTGACATTACTTAAGCAGTTCAACTGGAATTATACACGCTAAATAACTTCTCGGATAAAAGTATAGCTGACTGAAAGTATAACAGAAATAAAGCTCTTACTTCTGTACAATCTATTAAATTATGATGTTATAATCAATGATATCATATTAGTTATTTACAGATGAAAATCAAGATCACTAGCTGATACTCACTCTAAAATGTATAGTAGTAAAGCTATAGGACACAGTGTCTTCAAAATCTCTATTCAGAAGTGTATAGTACCTAAAATCCACCAATACAAAAAAAAATTCCAAGTCCTTTGATAAATTTTATAATGTCCACTACTTATGAAGTCATAATCTCACATGGTTTGCTTAAAACATTTTTCATTCACAATTGAAGAATAACAATAAAAACCAAGGTAATCCAAAACTGTACATCCAGCTTGTTCTAAGACACTCTTTCTTGAACATTAAATAAACATTTCGTTTTAAAAACTGGTATGTTCGAGCATTAAGTTTCTATTTTGCAACTCCAACTTCAATACAGTGAGCAAGACTACTGCTAAACTCTTCTGCAATGCAACTCGTGCTAGAGTAAAACGTCCAGTTGTTGAAGAGAAGATTTTTCAAACAATAAAGTTTAGAATCCTAAATACACTATAACGATCAGTTAAATATCAATTCGAATGATTATAGTTAATAAACAGAGTCATTTTTTAATGAATACAGATTATAATGGAAACGGAACTGGAAGTCCATTAGCAACATTCCCAGTGAACAAATTTATGTAACGAAAATTTATCTTAAATCAATTTTTGATTTTCTCCCTCTATGTTGTATTTGAAGAATCCATACCCCTAACACATACATAAAAATCTGTCATAAAAGATTACCCAATATTTTAATCGAACACCACTAAAAACCCTGTTTACATTTAAGAAGCCGTTTAAGTATAATCCATTAAAATATTTTGTTTATGGACTATCATTTAAAAAACTGCATCATATGAGATGAATGAAGACTTCTCTTTTTACAAGTTTTTTTCAGATTCTACAATCATATGTGGCAATTAATTATTCAAAAAGTGGCCAGGTTTAAGATGAAATGAGTCGTTTAAAGTTATAGCATGTGGAGAATAAGTTAATTTTTTTTCCGATTATTTTGCGGGTCAGTAATTTTTTGTCAAAGTCTGTCAAACTTGAAGTTTCTCAATCGGTAAAAACAGTACCAGTTCGGATTTAAAACCACAGAAATGTATGCAAAAGAAATATGTTCAACCCCTTCTCTTATCTTAGACAACCTCAGGCCCAATCAATCAATGGAGATACATCTCTGAGATACAGGTACATGCAGCTGATGAGTTTCAAACAGGACGAAATGCGATTCCTGGATTCTAGTGCTAGCAATTATCCATATTACTATTATTATTATTATTAAACTTGCTAGCCTTTTTTAGAAATTTATTCAACTCCCACCCCTATCTACTAATTCTTGCGTAATTCATACCATTCTACATATTGCGTAATTTTCAATTTGTAATCATATTATTCTCTCTCTCTCACCCTGTGTTGACCATATTTATTCTGATCACTGATCTCACAACTTCATATCATTTATAAATTGATTCAAGTTAACACTTCATATTAGTCATCCCATCATTAACGATTTGATTCTATATGGCAAACAATTATTATGTTAATTTTATGCAAACTGTTTATAAGCTGATTCAACTCAAATCACTAAAACAAAAGTTATAAAACACAAAAAGTAAAATCGAAAGGATTTCGAACACTTCTTTGCATTATCAGCTACAGTGATAACAATTACCATCAAGTCCACCCTATAACAACTGGAGAGCTGTATCAATGACACAATATAATTTATGTCAAAACGACGAATTTTGACCAAGTCACTTATATGTAAATGAAACCAACTCATGTATCTAAAATTCTAGACGAAATAGTGTCAGTAGGTCTAAAACTACGAATAATGAACTACACTTTATGATCCTTCCTTATTTATACGAGACGCAGTATTGAGAATCGTTGTCAAACAACAATCTATTGAAAACAAAATAAAGATTGTCTGATAAATTTTGTCTGCTGTAGACCCTGACAATATCTAACAAGTATTGAAACACCAACGACGAAATATTAGAAACATCAGTCGTCCTAAGCATCCTAGGTGACAAAAATATTATCTGTTTTCCGGAAGATACAAGAAACAGGAATTACGAAGTGCAAGAAACTATTTGTTTGAGTTATCATTTCCTTTGTCTTCTGTGTTTATTTTCAACAGATTATTCCAGTTATTTTTATATAGCCCTTAATGTAAGATGATTTCCGACACACTTAATATCGCCATACTTTTCACTATTCTATTTGGAATTAAGTTTCATTCAGTAGTGAGTATATTATTTAGCACAGTATCAAAACTAGACGTATTTTTATCCGCTATTATTTATACTTCGTGTTTCGGCATCTTATATTTACAATAACATGATTTATAAGTCTAAGATATACGACGTATCTGGGTGATTATTCTGGCTTTCTCAAATGCTGGTTGGGATATACAATTTCTGTTCAAAAGCCTTCGGTTCTATCAAGTACATGTCATAACAGTTAAATTATGCATTACTAAAGTAATCCAATTCATAATAAGTTGACATATTTTATGTTTTCGCCACAAATGAATAGATAAACAGACTAAACTTTTCAAAAACAATTAATGCTTCAAACAAATGAATTACAAATTGAAGATAAACGTCATTTGTACATAATTCATAAATGATTTTCGACTGATGAAAAAAAAGTTTGAATTTATGACAGATCAGTTCATGTCATTACAGTATTTGTCTAGGGAAAATCTGTTTCAGTATCTTATTAATCAACGATTATGGATTAAAATGAACTGAAGCGATATCGTTAACTAAAAATCAAATAGGATACCAATTCTCATGTGTATCACTTAAAATTACTTACAGTCTAGTTCTAAAATCTCAACCGTTTTGTTAAATCTAGCATTTTGATTATTCTCAGAAACAGTGGAAAATGTATTTGATTAATTAATTTCCTCATCATATACAAGCTAATCCAGCTAAAATGTATTTTCACACTGAAGAATAAACATAGCATTATAGTAACCTTACAGAATATCAACTGTAAGTAAACATGTTTATCAACCAGGTAGGGAAACATTGAGTTACTTGTGAAAGCTATGACATACACTATAGTATCGCAGTTACTATCATTTTAAATAAAAATACATTTCACATTCGTAAACACTAAGTTTAAGACATAACAATACCATTAATTGAATGTTGTTCCTAGCAGATTGCAAACAAGTCGATTGGTCTACGCTGATCTAGACTGTGTTGTTTGCTAACACTTGTTTATAATGTAAATAGTTTATTTCAAAGCCTGATGAGATAATGTTTAGTCTGGCTGTTATGCTCCTACACAATAATATTGTATGGCGTAAGTGATATTTGTATATTAATCAAAGTTAATCTGCTGATTAAACGAATTAAGAATCATGTCAACTGAGAAAAAGATGACGAAAGTTAAATCATTCAATCTCGCAACCGGAAAACTCACTTAGTTCGTAAGGTGATTTGATTAGTGTTCTGATAATTTATAATAAAACAAAACCCAAAAACGGATTTGATATCTATAGATATTTGGACAAGTTCGTTAAAATGTAGGATTAACTGATATCTCTTTTCAGTGGTTGGTTTATCAGATGTTTGTCAATTACTTTTTTAGATTTAAAGAAGGTCAAAATGAAATCTACGTCAATGAAGGTGATAATCTGATTTTTATCTGTCCATCAAATCGAACATTTTCCCAATCACTTTACTGGGTATGATCAAAATTTATACCGAGATAATATATGTAATTCTTTTGATTGATATATGTATCGAATAATGTCAAAATATCTTTTGCATAATCTGATTAAAATCTGTCATTAGGATTTATAGTGATCCCAGAAAAGCTTTACGAGAATAACAAAATACCATTCATTATGTAACACGTTTCTATTGACCTCTTATTTGACTGTAGGATAAGTTTTTTTGGGAAATGGTTTCCTTTTTTTGTTGATACAGTAGACAGGCAGGATGCAGCTTGACGATTTAGACTTCGCGGATGATCTGGCTCTTCTATCACAAACGCAACAACAAATGCAATGGAAAACGACCCGTGTAGCAGCAGCCCCAGCAGCAGTAGGTCTCAATATAAACAAAAGGAAAAGCAAGACTCTCCGATACAATAAAACATACACCAATCAAATTACACTTGATGGTGAAGCTTTGGAGGATGTGAAAACCTTTACATATCTGGGCAGCATCATTGATGAACACGGTGGATCAGATGCAGATGTGAGGGTGAGGATCGGCAATGCAAGAGCAGCATATTTACAATTGAAGAACATCTGGAACTCGAAAAAATTGTCAATCAACACCAAGGTTAGAATTTTTAAAACAAATGTCAAAACAGTTCTACTGTATGGGGTGGAGACGTGGAGAACTACGAAAGCCATTATCCAGAAGATACAAGTGTTTATTGACAGTTGTCTATGCAAGATACTTCGGATCCGATGGCCAGACACTATCAGCAACAAGTTACTGTGGGAGACAACAAATCAGATTCCAGCGGAGGAAGAAATCAGGAGGAAGCGCTGGAAGTGGATTTGGTACACTTTGAGGAAATCACCCGATTGCGTCACATGACAAGTCCTCACATGGAATCCTGAAGGTCGAAGGAGAAGAGGAAGACCAAAGGACACATTACGCCAAGAAATAGAGACAGACATGAGAAGAATGAACAAGAACAGGATAGAACTAGAAAAGAAGGCCCAAGGCAAAGTGGGTTGGAGAAAGCTGGTCGGTGGCCTATGCTCCATTGAAAGTAACAGGCGTAAGAAGAAGAAGAAGAGGTTTCCTTTTTTAATGTTACCATTCTTGTTATTTTTTTATAATAATTAATAATTCAGTTTTGCAAATATACTAAAATTTGATTATCAATTCGACTTTAAAAATAAAAATATCATTCAGAAAAGAACTTTGCCTAATTTTATTTGAGTGTCATCTCCTGCTACCCCTGATTATGACAATAAAAAAAAGGTTTATCACGAAAAACACTTTTTTGTTGTTGTTTAAAACAAAGTTTAATGTGCTGAAATAATCATTATTGAAGTGAGTGGATTTTCTACAGTCTTTACACAAAACAAATGATTAAGTGAATATCACTGATTTCGTAATAACAGTTAAACGATTTGGCTACAATTCTTATTACATATGGTTTATTTATTTAATTATTCAAAAAATCCAAGTACATCCAGGTACATGATATTACGTAAAAAGGTTGCTTGAGTTCATAGTATAAAAACCTGGGAGGATTCACACTTAAATAACTTGATTGAGGTCATAATATAATTTGTTCAACAAAGAAATCCTTACTATTAAGTTTATTTTCAAGTTTCTATATATTTCTTTTCAACTAGTTTTTCATCATGCCTCTACACTAAGTTATATATATATATATATATATATATATATGATTCACAATAAAGGAATAACACCCATCGAGTAGATACGTTACGTAATAATTATCTACTGTTATATACCGTATTTTATCAAATTTGCCGCATGGTTTACGAGTTCGTCTTTTGCACATAGCTGAAGCCATCGCAATCCATGTTCACAAAACGAACCTTTGTATGTAAATGAAGTTTGTATAAACACTCTGGCTACCCTGGCCATTGGTATAGAGGAGTCGACAGTAGAACTTTGGTAAACAATTTTCGTGTTCCTTCCATTTATGCGTTTTACTTATTTTCTACAATCGCTTCTTGATTCTTACATAACTACTATATTACTGACCATTCATCAAAATATTTTGTTAGTTTTTTCTTCTCCTTTTACATATTATGCAACGTAGCAACAGCTTGATTTTCGAATAATTACTTTGACCATTATTATTCCTCTTTCTTCCAATTAATAATCGAAACGTCATTATATAATTATTACGCAACGCATCTACTCAATGAATGTTATTCCTCTATTGTGAATCATATATACATTAATGTAGATCCATGATGAAAAACTAATTGAAAAAATTTCTTCGCTTGATTCGTTCCTTTTTATTTGTCAAATGTCGAAATGAGAATTTTTTAAATACAAACTTAGACATTTATCCCGGTACTATGCGGTGACGACAAAGCATAGAACAACATGGTAACTAAGAAGTCAAACTTCTGATAGTTTCCGATAGTGTTCAAAGCGAAAACAAGGTTAAGAAATAGTATGTATGCTGAAGGGAATTAGACTAATCTAACTTCAATTGTATGAAATAATATTTTTGTACTTATATTTTGTGCATTATTTATAGCAAGTGTAAATCTAGTGGAAAACCTTAATGATCTGAAACCTATATTTATCGTTTGTTTTTTTGTCAGACAAATGATTCACGAGTAACAATAAAATGCAATCGAACTTTATCCATTAAAGTAATTAAACTTTTAGATTGTTTCGGTGATAATTATGCAACGGAATTTATACTCAAAATTAGTAAATTTCATGAAATTTCATCTCTTCCAGTTTTTCATCATGAATTACCTATTCATTTTGTAGGTAAGTTATTAAAAATCATCACTTAACTGAATATTATTATTATTATTTATTTAAACACATAAATATTGGTACAAGGAAGCACCAGATACATATGCGCCGCACAAATCTCATTCGATTTGTGTGAGTGCTGGGATACTGCCCAGGTGACCAAACTGAAACAGGTGGTTTTCTTAAGGGGCCACACCCGGAGTCTTTGACCTTAAGGTATAATCCACAAGGCAGTGGAGCATCGTAAGGAGATGCAGTCCCATGGTAGCCGGTGACCAACAGTTGGTTCATACGCCATTCGTTCATTCAGGATACTGGAGCCCATGTGCACCATTGATTTGAAATCAGGGTTTTCCAACTCCCCTAGGTGGACGCTCCGTGTCCACCAACCCGGTTAAAGCGCCGGACATTCGCTTTTCGTCCTCTCGATTTCGTAAACAACGGTAGTGTCACGAGAAGTCAGTGAGTAGGACTCCCCTGACAGAGGCTATATATTCGCGTGGCTATATGAGAGCATTTCGAGAGGGAGAACGGACTTTCCCCACTCTCGTCCGTACCAGAGCGATCGGGGGCACTTAATTGAAAGTTTGAATTACAATAATTATGTCTGTTTTCTCCGTATATTTGATTAATCGATACCAGAATATTTTCTCTTAGTTATTCAGGCTGTTTTCGTTAAGATTACTGTCAATATTTTAACATATAGATGTATACAGGAACATATTTTCATATAACATATAACATAGCTTGATCAACTTAAACGATCCAACCTTATCGTTCTTAGGTTTTCTATTATTAAATTCATCTATTTTATTCTTTTATACCGCGTATTTTATTTATAGCTCAATCAGTTATTTGTCAAAATAGTAACTTCCGCCTAAGTGTTAGACTGGCGTCAACACATAAGACCTCAAGCACAGATAGCGTTTCCAATGGTTCTGCAATATATATCAAAAAGTCTAATTTGACAAATCATTATGAAAAATGTAAGTCAACTATTATAATTTACCTCTTTACACAGAATTCTTTTATTGATGTAAAACTGTGTTTTACAACACGATTTATTAAGTCATAGATATAATGGAAAGCTTTTACGAGCACTGAGCTAAACACAAATTAGTTTGCGTAGGATTATATCTCGGCAATGACAATGTTTCCTATAAATTTTACTTTTCCATCGTTTCACATATCATAGAAAGTAAACTAGGTAAAGTGCTGTAGGGATAATTAGATTATGATGTAACTTCATAATAACTCTCTTCCATTAGTTGATTCTTGTGATTTCAAACAAATTCGAATTGTTTAAATCATGAAGTTTTATATTTTTTCATTTAGATAAATGTGCTATTTCATTGTAGGAGATGAGTTGTCATATATACGATAAGAATGATTCTGGGTTCCAGTAATGTGTAAAGAAATAGAAAACTTTACTAATTTGTTCTTTAATTACTCAATGTTTCACTAAATTAATCTGAAAAGGGTGGATTTAAATGAGTTAAAGTACATGGGAGCCCTGTATTTTACATATCCTATTCTCAATCAGGTTAATATTTCATATTATTCGAAATGAGTTATTCACAAACAAAAACCTAACAGAAAATCGGGTTGGAATATCAAGAAAGAGTGAAGGAACTAAATTTATGATCAGTTTAATTATATTAGTCAATAAGCATCGTCAAAAATGGCATTCTAAGTTGTGTTTCTAAACACTATTCAAAATATTAATCACTTAGTAGTTACTTATGTTGTCGAGGCATTATTTTAAAGAGCTATGTACATCAGTAGATATTGACCACAACCAGCCCCAGATATCAATAGAAAGTACAGACGCTTAACAATTATTACGAATGTTGTTGAATATGTCCAGTGTCTTTTTTTATTTTACCTAATTGATTTTTTTCTCAATAGCTACTACCTCAAATAAATCATCCTATTTTCATATAAAACGGAAAATTGCAAAATTTGTCTCCAATGTCTCTTCCACTTCCCACTTAAATTATGAATTTACTAATTTAGAGCAAACAAACTGGAAGGAATATCGTTTCCTTATTTTACCAGCGACATTAGCATTTTTTACACTCATTGGAATGCAAATTGTTTTTTGTAGTTTTTGGTTACCTATCTCAGTGATTAATAAATTTTTCAAACATTTTCGACCGTCTAAACACTTACACAAATTAAAATCACAATCTAACCAGAAAGTGAAACAAAATGAATCAAACTCCTTAAAAGTTTGCAAAGAAAATTCGAAAATTCCAAACCAAAGTTTATGTTGGAGTATACCGACTCAAATGTCAATGAATTCTTGTACAACACATTCAATGAAAGAGTCAATCTCTAATTATAATCAATTTATCACTTCTTATAATCAATTAAATGATTATAAATTAATAAATCAAAATTATCAAACTGATTTTCATAGTCAAAATTATCAATTTCAATTGGTAATACCTCAAAAATCACTTAAAGATAATCATGATGATTATATTAATCAAACAAATTCAAAGATTTTATGTAATTGTTCTTATCATCAACATCAAATTATTATGAAATTAAATGAAAAACAAACAAATATTTTACCAATTTTTATTTCATCTAATATGAAATCACATGGAAGTTATACAACGACACAAACTATTTCAGAATTAATTCAAAAATGATAAACAATTAATTTTAATATTATTATTAATATTATGTGTAACGAAGATTACTTTCTTTTTTGTTTTGTAAATATTTACTTACTTACGCCTGTTACCAACCCCTCGCGGAGATGCATAGGCCGCCCACCAGCGTTCTCTATCCAACCCTGTTTTGGGCAGTCCTATCCAGTTCTTTCCAGTTAACATTCATCCTTTTCATATCTGATTCTATTTTCCGGAGTAATGTATTCTTTGAGCTTCCTCGTTTCCGCTTGCCTTCCGGGATTGCCTCATGATGAATTTTGGTGATTTTCTTAATGTATGTCTTATCCACTTCCAACGTTTTTTCCTAATTTCCTCTCTAACTGGTAGCTAGTTTGTACTCTCCCATAAAACGCTGTTGCTGATAGTATCCGGCTAGTGAATGTTGAGTATTTTGCGTAAACAACTGTTTATAAATACTTGTACCTTTTTAACGATAGATGTAGTAGTAGTAGTTCTAAATATTTACTGAATAATAAACGACATAAAAATCAAATGCGTTTTATTGTTGAGTACACAAGAAAACTATTATTTAGCGACCTTTAGAGTGTGTAATTCCTTTTTCCCTTTCTTCTTTTTTCTCTTTTTTTAAACAATATAAAAACTATAGTTTAGTTAATTTTATGAAATTACAAGATGAAAGACTAAATCAAATGTCAAGTATAAAAAGGGAATTATTTCACTTTTGATGTAACTTTCTTATTATTGTCATTAGTATCCTATTCTCCTTTATTATATAAAATGTTCGAAATTTTTATAATGTAAAAAAAATAGATAAACATTAAACTTTTCAGCCTACATATTTATGCTTGTTTGTATCGTTTCGTAGAAAACCAAAAGAAAAAAGAAAAAAAACAATAGTAAAAAAAATACTTTTTGTTTCGTTGTTTTGTATTTTTTTGGCGTTTCATTCAAATAATTTTTCATCTTTGATTAACACAAGCATATTAACGATGATAGAATTGTTGCCACTTAAAATATATACCTTTCTGTATTATATTTCGGTCAATATTCATTAGATAAATGAATCTTTAACTTCAAATAAAGTAAAATCGTTTAACGATCCACATCGTATTAAAAGACAAATATTTGAACGAAGAATATTCTTTTCGATAAATTCTCTTCAGGTTCTACAATTCATATGTGCAAATTAATAATCCTAAAAAGTGGCCAGCTCAAATGCAAAGTACATCGTTTAAAGTTATAACATATAAATTTAGGATTATCAAACCAAATAGAATAAAACTGTTAATGTTGATATGACTCATATAGAATGTTAAATTGAATCTGTATATATGTAAAGTGAAAATTTAAGATCTGTGATCAGAATATAAATATGGGTCAGATAGAGTGAGAGAGATATGATAGTGCAATTACAATTCGATCGAGTGGAAGACTTAATTGTGTGAAAAATTAGTAAGACGTAATACATAATCATTAAATTACAATATGTGAAAATAAGAAACAAATTTTGTCCAGTATATAGACAACAATATCCATGACGGTTTAAATTGAATAACTATCTTAATAAAATTTACTTAGTATTGTTTGTTTGAATCTTCCCAATGATGTTTAGGACTGAAACTGGTCAGTCTCTAATTGTCATATGCGCATACTGTGCGTATTGCCTCAATATAGCCTTAATTCACAAGCATTGTACGCAAAGATGAATAGTAGCTAGCTGTGGAAGCCAGGACGCGCGTTTCGTACTGTTTGGGACTCGTCAGCTGGATGAAACTGCATTTCAGAGTTGATGTTCACTCTGAGACTCGAGACTGACTTGCTGCAGTCCTAAGCAACAATGGGAATATTGAAATAAGTGATTTCAAACTTTACCCATTGCACAATCAAGTGGCTATCAGAACTCAGTAGCTGAGTGGGTCACGCGATGGCTTTTGAAGCGAAAGATGCTAGGTTCGAGTGACCATCAACTCAGAGATTCAGGTACATACAGGTGACGAGTCCCAGCTAGGACGAAACGCACGTCCTGGATTCCACTGCTAGCCACTATCCATCTTTGCTTATTTTAATAAAATGTTATGTAATATCTCTGTCAAAGTCTTTGCCAGCAAGCACAAATAGGTGTATATGATCTATGATTGATTGATTTTAGGTTTACTATTTGTCAGTTAAAATTATTTCTACAATAAACTAAATGATTTTAGTCAGACTAATTAATAGTACTTTCCACTTAGAAACAATGACTAATTTGTTTTCAGTTTTGAGTATAAAAACAATTGAGAAACACGTTATGTTAATAAGATACTAAGGAAATATAATTGACTAATCAATTGAATCGTTGATTGCAATGCATAACTGTATAATTTGATAAGGATTTGATAAGAATGATAGCATAGTGTATTACATCAACAAAAATAAGTAAGAGAAACAGTTTTGTTGCACATATAATTTAACTTTGAATAACTGACGTTTTTCACTGGAATTTTTCAAAATTCAATATATGACATCATAAGATAATTACACTATCAATTAATGTATCAAACCAATAAATTAATATCATATTACCGTAAGGTATTCAAATAATGATAAAGCCATATAATGACAGTAATTGGATGTACATGTTCAGTATAGTCTATGAACCTTAGCAATATAATTAGTAAATAATGAATAACTTTGCAAACAATATCAATGGAATTATTATTCATAATTTATTTGAATTCAGTTGCCTTTATTTTTGGGTCAATTTTTAAAAAAAATGTAACCATGAGGTAATTTATTAAACAAATAAGCAGACAAATACAATTCAAATCAAACTATTTCATGTACTGGACTTTATTAGTTTGGTTGTTTATATCCCAATTTTATTGACTTGATATGAAAAAAGATCCGGCAGAAGAAGCAAATGATGAAGTAGAATAAAATTTATTAATTAAAAAAAGGTAATGAACTTTGTATCCAACCCATTTCACTAACTCATAAATTGCTTTGGTCGGTTTCATGTTTTCACATATCTACATAAATATCCATATATTTTAGAATAAAGCCTTATAAGGGTCTAACTGAAAGCAATATTGTTCGCTTACACTTTTTGATCTAATTATAAAATTAATAAAACTAGGAATTATTTTCATTTAAAATCTTCAAGTATTCATCTTTTTTTCTTACATATCAAGATGAACTGTACACATTACAACTGAATACATTCCATATGAAAAAGTAATTATTTTAAACATGAAATCAAATAATTGTGACAAATTAACTATTAACTCATCTGAAAGAATGCTAAATTGATTTTATAACTAGAATAGATTGAAGTCAGTATGATGATTCATCTCTAAATCGTTCACAACGCTTATTTAGTTTCCAATTATTTGATTAAAGTTTCTAATAGAAAGAATGTATAATTGCTAAGAAACTAATTTCATCGTATATTTCAACTGGAACAATTCCATAAAACGTGATACTTTTGATTTGGAACATTACAGTGAAGGTGATATCAGTGTTGATTTCTTTTTTTTCCGACTCTGATAATCTTGAAGTCATTACAATACGGTATTCAGTTATAGGAGTCACATTGGAACGATCGAGTTTATTTCCCAAATCAATGTAACACTATAATTTCAACCTGACAGTGCTTTAGATACTTGTACATTTGTAGTGGACCTGTATTTCAAACTTAAATCAGGGTCTAAAATAGAGTAAATAAACTTTGCGTCGATTGCTAAATAAAATATATATGTTTATAATAGATCATTTGGTTCGTCAATCACATTGACGCCTAGATTCCTTCTCTAACCTTATAGATATTACTAACTATGACTACTTATCGTTCCCTAGGGTAAAGTAAATTGATAATATTTCATAAGGTTTTCTAAGCGCACAGAAAAAGCAAGAATACTTTATTGTAAACATGTCTATCATTCGTTGAAAAGCTAAGCTCATTCTCTCTCTCTCTTTCTCTCTCTCTCTCTCTCTCTCTCTCTATATATATATATATATATATATATATATATATATATATATCATGAATCTCTTATTTTAAACTATCATATTCATCTCAGATGTATGCGATTGCCTGATGTTCTTATGTAATACAAATGATTTCACATTCCCATTTACAGTAACAGTTGGTTATAAAAAGTATTTTTAAGCTAATATGTATAAACACATGCTTAGATTTCCCAAGGTTTGTTTATGACATACTTTATTCAGCATAATTCTAGTTTACTTGTGATCATGATTTTAAATTAATTTTGTTGATATTTTCATTAAAATCACGTAGCAAAGTTTGACAGTGGCTAGCAGTGGAATCGGCGACACGCATTTTGTCATATTTAGTACACGTTAGGCAGATGCACCTGTTGCATTATTGTTCTATAAGCTGATGATTATCTGGAATCAGTAACAAAGTGAATAGGGCGTTGGGTTTTAGGAGGAAAAACCGTTGAGCTGTCATCTCGATTTTAGGTGCTTCCAGTTGACGAGTTTCTAATGGAAAGAAAATGCGCACCATGGATCCCAATGCTAGCCACTAACAAATTTCGTCCAAAACTCCTCGTGATTTGACGGCTACATCGTGATAATCTGCTTCGAATGTTAGTATACCAAAAGATTGGTTTATTGCAATCCTTAATATCAACAACTAGGTAAATTTTACTGTTTCATGAATATAATTTGAGGATAACAACCGATGGTGTTCATTTTTCGCTAGATGCTTCCTAAAAATATTTATATATTTCAAAAGACTTAACAAATATTATTATTTCTACAGGATTTATCATTCCTGGATATTAGATTATGTAAGTTTATTCAAAGAATTCCTCATTTGTTAGTCTATGCAACAATTGAATGATACAATTAAATTAGAATGTATAACCAGTAGACACAATTTATTACAGTGTATTATGACTAATTTTACAAATGTTTAGTTATTTCTTATATATAGTTGAATTCATGAGTCTATTAAAGTCAGACCACCATGGGAAACCTGGAAGTATCGTTTCGTCCTATTGTTGGACTCCTCAGCTCCTCGGTTATTCAATATCATAAACAGTTTATTTTATTAAACATTTATTCATCACTAATAATAAATTTTATACATTATGAACAAACAATTAATAGAAAAAATAATTGAATGACATAACTGTTGAGAAAACATCAACAAAGTACATCACTACTAAGCAATACTTGGAGAGGAAAAAAACAG